TTAATTGTGACCGTGTGAGTAGTGGAGATGAATAGGGAATGAGAAAAGGGACTCTCAAACTGAGAAATTTTTAGTTGTAACGGAAATATGGATGATATACCATGTATTTTTATGTAAATAATGAAATTTTTTATTTTTTAAGTTATTAATTTTTTAACACACATATTTCATCATTTATATAGTGACACGTAATGTACTATCTCGTGTGATGATCACACTAAAAAATCTCTCATCTCAAGCGAAAGATATTTTGTGCACTCTGTTACTTTATATTTTTATGTAATATATTATAATATTAATACAAAAATTAACGTTAAATTATGAAGCGTCAGAGAATTTAAGATTTCAAGTCACTTTAGCATTTCTTTAGGAGGATTGATTGAGTGAAAGGGGAAAAAGAGCATGGATAGCTGTCAAAGAAAGAGTAGAAGAATGGGCAAGGAATCTTGACTCTTGTGCTGTAATTTTCAGTGAGGCAAAGACGGCAAGCAAACTAAGGCAGACTGGATTCTGTGTGGATAGTGTTTGTATTTATTACATGGGTCTTTTCGCAATAAAATAAAATAAAATGAGATTAATCATTCATTTTTTTTTTCACCTAGGGTTGATATGATTTTATGTTTCATGATTGGTGAGAAAATAATGCTACTTGTATCATATTTATTGAAAATTGCTCGCTTAAAAAGATTTGTCATCAACGAATGAGATAATGATCATAAGATATGATACCAAATAGTTACTTTTAGAAATCGAAATTCATGTGATAGTTGAGACCGAATTTTTTGCACAAATGGGTGCGATTTTTGTATGGTCTTAATAAGGGATTGAAATGTATTTATTATTTTAACTCTTCTTAATTTTATTATCATAAATTTAAAGAAAAATTATTGAAAAGAGTTTGAAAACTTTGAGTTTTAATCAAAATGATAAAAAATATCAAGAGTAGCTTTTTAGAGTAAAAATGTATTTTTCGTTAAAAGTAAATAGTATTATAAGTGTTTCGTTAAAACTCTCTTAAATTTAATGCGAAAAACACTTATTTCGATCACAGAAAAACCATACCTATTTTAGATTTTGGATATAGAAGATTTGACCTCGTAATATTTGGCTTGAATGATGTCAGAATTATGAACCTAGGGTGTAAGTTGATGCATAAGGTTGTCTGGTTAGTAGGCCCCCAAATGCCTGAAGAGTCAAACCAGAGTGGGGGGTTGAGATGCAGATGAGCTTTTTTTTTGTTTCTTTAAAGAAAATTGTCTTGTGCTGCAATGATTTAATATCTAGCAAAGTATGTACCTTTCTTACACATTATTGTTGAGTTTTAGCTTTTCATATTGAAGAAATTAAAAAAACATTAGGAAACATAAATAAATATTTGTGTACATAACGAAAAATGTGTGTGTGAAAATATTTCTTACGTTGTTACAAACAATGGTATAAGTAGAATAGGATTATGGGCTGGTTTGATATTGCGTGTTTTTAAAAAAAATTGTTTTTGCTGTGCTGTGAGAATAAACTCATTTTTGCTGCTTCACGTTTTCAATTTTTTTTCACCCAAAACTGTGAAAATAATATGTTTTTAAGTGTTTATCAAATACCTTTTTGAGCTAACCATTTTTTATACCAATTTTTTATAAAAGCACTTTAGTACCAAAATCAATACTATTTCTCCTCTAAATCCTATGTAAAAAGCAGAACAGGATTATTTCCCCTCCAAATTTCCTTCCCTCCTATCTCATCTTCCTCTTATTTTTCTTTCTATAAAAAGGTCAAAACAAGATGTTGATGTAATTTAATCGCGATCCTTCAAATAAAATAAGACTCAAGGAATGAAATTTAGAAGGAAGCACTAATGTAATTCATAGTCTAAGCATGGTAGATCTATCATATTATGGATCATAATAGGTGAGAAAGTGACCTATAAATATGGGAATATAGGAGGGGACCCATTTGAATTGTCCTATGTTACATCATATTGACTTCAGTGACAATCTGGCTTTGAGGTGATCGGCCTCAGAAAAGTTCCCAAGTGTATAATGGTTGCCCTATCTCAGCTGATCTGCTGCTGATTAGTTTATGTTAGGAGGCTCGAGATGTCAATTTATGGGGTCCCAATTGAATTCTGGTATCTTCTACTCGTTTGAGTTTTCTTGTTGGAGGTTTGAATTGGTGTAAAAGCAATCATGCAAACCAGAGTGGACGGACATGGCAATTTTTCCCCCAACACGCTATTCCGCGGTGCCCGCCGTTTTGAGCTGGAATGGGATTGCTAGCCGGTCTCCGCCCGAGTCTCCTTTTAAGGTCACATTTTTTTAAACAAACGATATTATCTACACTAAAGGGTGGAGAGTGGGTTAAGTCTCACAATATGTTAGCAACAATGTGGTTCAAATTCGTCTTTGGAGAGAATCGAACCTAAGACATCTCACTTATAAGTGAAGAGAAATACCATGAAAACGTAATATTAAGTGATTTTTTAAAGACACGTTTGGTTTCTGAGATTTGATTGGACTGGATAATCTACCATATTCAAAGGATGTCGAAGTAAAAAATGAAAAATTGTGTCTAATCTTATTCCGTATACCCTGGATTTAAGGCATGCCTTCATCTACTTATATTTTATGAATTACCCTATCCATTCTCTTTTTACGCACAAAACGATCTCGAAGTTCATATAAAAAAATTACATTTCTCTATTTGATTTACAATTTAAAAAACTTTAATTTTGTTTTTGTTTTTGTTGTTTATGTAATTGTTTCATTCTGTGTTGTATTATATAAACAAAGTTATCTCTGTGTCATGATTTATTTATTTATTCTAATTGTTAGAAATTTAATAAGAAAACTTATCAGACCCCGAATTCCCGACAGAGTCTCTTATCAAAGGAGAGGTGACTCTGTCAGGACGGAGATGATAATGACATTCCCCGCCTCCGACCGAGGCGGTTCCCAAGCCTCTTTAGTTGAAATCTAACATTATTTTCAAGTCTACTTTTTGACTTAGAAAAAGACCAAAAAAAACAGCGTGTAATGGGGAACATGAGATAGTTAAAGTGGAGGAGGAGGTGGAGGAATGTGGGACTTGTGATGATGAAAGAAGAGGAAAAAGAGACCGAGTGAAAGAAAGAGTGATGAAAAATCAAAACGGGAAAGCCAGAAAACATGGCAAGTGTAGTGCAGGTTAACAAGAGACTGCTTGGCTTCTAGTGCTTTTTGTTTGCCTTGCTTGTTTTGCACTACGCTAGTGTGATTGCTGAGGGATTGATTGCGAATTTGAAACTTTCCATGTGCACCATTTGGACACCTATTTGGCCTTTCCTCTCTCCCATCAATATCCATCACCTACTTGTGGATCAATTTTGGTAAAAAATACGTGTATTAATTTATTAATACTGTATTAAGGTCTGTGAAACATCAACTATGTCATGCCACCAATGTTTTTAACACGGGAAATGATTCTGAGAAGGATAAAAGTGCTTTCTAAACTAGAAGCGTTTTTTTGCGTATGTTTGACAAAATATTAAATGACTTCAACTAGAATCTAGATGTTTTCAGAAAGAATTTCAAGTACATTTTCGAGAAGCACTTTCAAATGTCTCTCTAGGATAGCTCCCAATAAAAGTTTGATAGTTTTAGGTAAAAGCACTTATAGTAGATAACGTCTCATAAGTACTTATGATAAAAACATTTCTAAACGAGTTGTCCAATACTTTGACCTAGAATCAAGCTTGGGAGAAATTTTTTAATGTGTTAGAAATATGACCCGGTACACTAAATGTCCAAACGAGTCTATCTAGTCCAATATTTGACCTAGAATCAAGCTTGGATCAATAGATTGGATAGTCAACGAGTAGAGTGTTGTTCAACGTAAAGATAGGGTCATCTTCATCCATTGGGTCAATTCATCATATTAGATTCAACCTAATCTGTCTTTAGATCTAATTTAAATATGATTAGCTTCTAAAGCAATTAACAACATAACTCTCACTTGTATATGTTGTAACATTGACGTGTATTGTATATACTACAAGATTAATTGGTTAGATTGGGATTGGGGTCGAGTCAAGCACTACTAAAGCGTTACGTAACCTAGCCGACTCTTAGTTGCATCATGACATCACCATGCACTCTCGATCTCACTATTCTTTTAGTAAACTAATTCTTTAGATCACATTTGTAAATATAATGTGTCAGTAATAAAAAATAAGTACATTAATTGACAATTTATTGCACAACAAATTGCTGATTAAAACTACAGATTCTGTGTGTGATTTCGCTTAATTTACCAACTTTAAAATTTTATTTTACTAAACGAAAAGATAAGAATTTTGTTGGTGCATGTGTGTTCCATCAATTAATAGAGATATATTTATAGTAGGGAATTGATTTCGGAGGTGCAATGTTTACTCTCCCATTTTCATACTCTTCCCATCCTCTCCTGTTTGTGTGGTCACGGTTAAGTTACGTTAACATTTTATATTGATTTTTTATAAAAATAATAAAACAAAAATAATATGAATATAAAATGTGGACGTGGCTTAACTGTGACCACATAAAATAAGAGGGGATGGGAAGAGTATGGAAATGGGAGTGCAGACAATCCACCTCCATTGATTTCCACTCTTTTATTTTCTTTTTCTGCACTCATCTCTTCTTTCTGTCTTTTCTTTCTCATTTTATTTATTCAAAAAAGGTAAGAAACGAAAAAGGAAAATGTAGGAAGAGAAAAAAAAGAATTGCATAATTCATTTTCATCAATTACCCTTTTTTATTTCTCATAAACCCCTCTCAATTTCATGTTGTCGAATTGAATGAATTGAAGAAGATCAAAAGACAGAAATTAACAAGTAATATGTGGAAAGTAAAAAATGTTGTGTGAATAACACCACACTTAATTATCAAAGGCAATTGGTCTAATTGGTTCTTCGTAATTTGCATGCATGATATTCCCAAGAATGTAGCAAATTATTAAGCTCCAGAAGAGAAAAAGAAAACTCCTGATTAAGCAAAAAAGGCATACGTTCGTACGTTCATTTCCTCCTTAATAATAGGCATATGCACAAAAAGAAAATAGAACAAAACACACAATTAAACAAACACATTCATCTTATTTTTTTATATCAAAACACAAAAATGAGGAAATTGTATAAATCTTGCAAGCATTAATGTTGATGGTGATGATCGATGAGTGATCCCACTTTCATTCTCCCTCTTCGTTATATATCCTTGTACGTACGTACTCTCTCTTTTTTGCCATGTTAATTAACAAGATAGAATCGATCCTCGATCAGATTTAGCGTCTGGCGCAGCGGGTGATGTACTGACAACTCCGTTTGTAAGGGTTAGCCCCATCCCTTTTTTGGCAGTCGTAGTAGGACTGGCCACGGCGTCCGCATGGAACAGCATTTTGCTTTAGGGCAGAATAACCAATAAACCTGCCGTTGCCTATGAGTGTCCTACGAGTGCTCTCTGACTCCATCATCATCTCATTCTCGTCTCCGATGAAGTCGCCAACTTTGCTGTTGGCGCTATTGATCAAGGACTCATCATCGTGATCACCGAAGCGGCTGAAACCCCACGAGGCATCGTGGACCTTGGCTGATGTCCTAGCTACCATGGCCAATACCACCATGAGGGCGATCAGGTTGAGCTTGAATCCCATCGTTGGTGTCTGTTGTATTAGGGTTAGGGTACGTACGTACACAAACAAATTGTGTTTTTAATTTGTTTGTGTGGGGAGAAGAAAAGAGAGGGCTTTATTGGCCTCTGTCTCTGCCCTTCCTGGTAAAAGGAAGGAGAGAGAATGAAGGATATAGAGGAAATTGTGCAGATGATTCGTTGGGATAAAAAAAGAGGGTTAAATTTAGCTTGTTGGTGTGTGTTTTTGGTGATTGAACGCAAATTTTGAATGCCCTCTGCCCGTTTCTTTCTCCTCGTTTATCTCTCACGTTAAGCCACCTAGCCGTTTATTTCTCCTCCTTGTAAATTATATTACAAAAGTAATGCTAAGTAAATTAAATTTGCAAATTAAATAATTCGTCATCACTAAGAAATAACCATATTAATTAACACTTAAATAATAATCTAGTCATCAACTTTTATGCATTTTAGTTTCACAAATTTAGTCCTCACATTTAATTCCCAGCATTACTCCTACAAGAGTAGTTAGATTGGGATTGGGATCGAGCCAAGCACCACCAAAACCTTAGGCCACCTAGCCGAATCTTAGTAGCATGAAGACATCACCATGCACTCTATTTCAGTAATTTTTTAGTAACGCTAGATAGACCAATTTTTTGGACCACATTTACAAAACACGAGATGTGTCATCATTAAGGAGAGTAATGCTATTTATACCATGTTTTTGTACCACATTTTCATACCACTTTAGGTGCAAAACACGTGATGTGTCATCATTAAGGAGAGTAATGTTATTCATCCCATGTTTTTGTACCACATTTTCATACCACCTTAGGTGGTATTTGATGTGGACAGTCACATCATTTGAATTAATCAGATTTTTAAATTTAGTTCATTATTTAATAAATTAATAATTAAGAAAAACTAGTTAGCTAAATGATTATTGTGGTATACGAGGAGTCTTTCTTCTTCATTTCCTTGGGTTTTGCAAATTTTTCAAATGATGTGGCTGTCCACATCAGATGCCACCTAAGGTGGTATAAAAACATGGTATGAATAGCATTGCTCAAAAAATTGTTAATTGATAGCTTATTGCATAGCAAATTGCAAGTAAAACTATATAGAGATTAATGTGTGTGATTTTGCGTAATTTACCAACTTCAAAATTAATTTTACTAAACGAAAAGATAAGAATTTGGGTGTATGTGTGTCTCATTAATTAATCCCACTGTATTGTTTTCTATGGGGTAATAGAGATACGAGAAATGCTTGACTCTCTGAAAAGTGAGACTCTTCATGTACTCTCCGCTACCTTATGTTTTTGACACAATTTATGTGCCAACATCTTAAAACATTGTGCTAAAAATATGAGGTAACGGAAAGTTCATGAAGAGCCACACTTTGAGAGTCTCTATATCATTTCTCTAGAGATATATCTATTATAGGAAATTGATTTCCCCTCTTTCATTTCTTTATCTACACTCATCTCCTTGCCTTATATCCTTTGATTCTCATTCGATTTATTCAATCTAAAGACAAAAAATGAAAAAAGAAAATGCAGGAAGAGAGAAAAAAGTGCTAAATTTATTTTCTTTGTACAACTGCAACCAAATGTTATTTCTGGATGCAAGTAGAGGAGTATGGAAAAGGATGCAAAACAATTAATTATGGGATGTGTTATCTACACACCTCTATTTATCTCTCACACATTATTCTTGATTTTTGGCTGTTGGATAGAATGAATTAAAGAAAATCAAATGGCAAAAATTAATAAAAAAATATAAGAGAAGTAAAAATGAGTTTGTGAATAACACCACCCTTAATTATCAAAGGCAATTGGCCTTACTGATTCGTCGTAATTTGCATGCATGATATTCACAAGCAAGCATATAGAAAATTATTAAGCTGCTGAAGACAAAAAGAAAAAGAAAACTCCTGATTCCTCATTTTATTTAATTCATACGTACCCAAGTACATATATCTTGATTTTCATTTCCTCCTTAATAATACATAATAATAGACATATACACAAAAATGTGAATACAAAAAAACACATAATTAAACAAACACATTCATCCTATTCTTTTTTCTTTTATATTAAAACACAAAAACGGGGAAATTATATAAATCGTGCAAGCATGAATGTTGATGGTGATCGCTGAGCGATCCCACTTTCATTCTCTCTTCGCTATATATCCTTGTACGTACGTACTTTTTATTTGCCATGTTAATTAACTGGATAGAATCGATCCTCGATAAGATTTAGCGTCTGGAGCAGCGGGTGATGTACTCACAACCGCGCTTGTAAGGGTTAGCTCCCTCCCTTTTTTGGCAGTTGTAGTAGGACTGGCCGCGGCGTCCGCATGGAACAGCATTGCGCCTTAAGGCACCATATCCAATAAACCTGCCGTTGCCTTTGAGTGTCCTACGACCGCTGTCTGAATCCATCAACAACTCGTTCTCCTCTCCGACGTCACCTGTTTTGCTGTTGGCGCTGTCGATCAAGGACTCATCATCATGAGCCGCGAAGTGGCTGACGCCCCACGAGGCATCGTGGACCTTGGCTGATGACCTGGCCACCATGGCCAATACCACCATGAAGGCGATCAGGTAGAGCTTGAATCCCATCGTTGGTGTTTGTTGAATTAGGGTTAGGGAACGTACGTACACAAAACTTGTGTTTTTAATTTGTTTGTGTGAGGAGAAGAAAAGAGAGGGCTTTATTGGCCTCTGTCTCTGCCCTTCGTGGTAAAAGGAAGGAGAGAGAATGAAGGATCTAGAGGAAATTGTGCAGATGATTCGTTGGGATAAAAAATAGGGTAAAATTTATTTTGTTGGTGTGTTTTTGGTGATAGAACGCAAATTTTGAATGCCCTCTGCCCGCTGCTTTCTCCTCGTTTATCTTTCACGTGTTAATGTAGAGGAATAAATGTTAACCATAAGTCGCACACAGACTAGTGAATGTTCTTCAGTTTCAGCCGTTGAAGAATGTGGTGACACTCATTAACGGCTGAAAATGATCTAGATATTGACCCACGATTGATAGTAGCATTTTGTAGATGGTGGTTGTTTTCGTATTGCATGTGAATATTGTTTGAACCTATGGGACAACTTTTTCTCTAACAGTGGATTGCTGAATTGGAATGTACGTTCAACCTTTTCTCTAAGGTCACGTTTTTGTAAATTTTATTGCTATTTTCTGTGGATCCTTTTTTATTTTATTATTATTATTATTATTTTAATGATCAGTGGTGGCCACCATTATTTGATTCTCCAACACTAAGAATCGAACCCAAGATGTATCATATGAAATATGAACCTGGACTATTTTATGTGGTTTACTAATATGGTTAATCTCTTCTGAAAGTTTTTTTGCATTAGCAGAATTTTGACATCTTCTTGTGAAACATTGCACATTGGGTTTATGGTGGCCCATAATTTGTCTTTGAAAGTTTGCACCTTCGAAAGGGCAAAACTGGATTTGAGTCTTAATGTAAGAATGGGCTTATATATTCGTAGCCATATCAAAGTTTGTACTTCGCTTTGCAACGAGTCCCATTGTATATACTAGGATTGGCTCAAGATAGGCGCATATACTAGAGCAGCTCTCACATCGTATGGATATCGACTCTCACACTATGTAGAATCAACATAAGTTCAAGAGAAATTAAAATACGAGAGCCTTATGCTGATGTTAGAGGTGGTCGAAGGATGGCTTGGTCATACACTTCTATCAGAGCTATTCTCAATAAAGAGAATTAAAACTTAGCTGTAAATAGTGTTTATTCAATTGTACTTATTTTTTTCGTGACAAAAAAGTATACGTCATGTTACAGGTAAACTTCTCTCCATAGTAATAAGGGGATAAAATGATGGTACCTCATTAAGATATGCATACAAACTGCAAATTACTGACTTGAAGATTTCCAAGGTTTTCGAGTCAAGACAGGAAGATCTTGATATATCATGGGGGTGGAGTCTGGACCCCGTGGAGTAGAGTGCAAATCAAAGTGGGACAAACCAGAACTTATCAGAAAACCTTAGAAGATCATATTAAGGGTCCAGTGATGTAGACACAAGCTAAATATATTAAATCAGCAAAGCCCTGAGCTTGAAGCAAGAGTTTTCCATTATTTTCCATCAAATGAGTACCGTCACCCAAAAATCTACACAAGAATTGCTCCAAAATTAAGCCATGAGTTTAATTTCTATTATTTCCATTAAATCAGTAATCATTACAGAGATTTAATATTGGTAGAGCGTAGATATGATAGGTGGTGGAGTTAGAATTTTGTCAAAATGAGTTCGTAAAGAGAAATGTTAAGTAGATTCTCTTAAAATAAAACTCTTCGTGAACTCTCTGTCACCTCACAATTTAACGTCAAATTCCATTCCAAAGTTATAAAACGTTGTGACAAAAATATAAGTTAGCAGAGAGTCCGCTTAATTAACATTTCTCATGTTAAAATAAGAAACGATAACTAAAGAAGGTCACAACCCCAAAACCTCAACCTACTATATATCTCACAATTCTTAACCTTCTCGTTTTTTTTTTTGTCGAACTTAACCTCCTCTTTGTAACATCATTCGCAATGAAAAGATATTTCATCAAACATCTTAGGTTGATTTCAGTGAAAGTAAAATCACAGTTTTTGGTATCGTTTGTAACCATTAATATTCTCTTTTTTAACATTTATACTTGGGTTGTTTGAACAGTTGAAACCCATTCGTCTTCCATATTTGTATCCCAATTGCTGAAAAGCATAATCATGCAATAAGGCTACAACTTTCGTGTAAGTATTATTTACGTTTGGTCAAATCTTGCAGACGACATCTGTTATAAAAATAGAAAAGAAAAAAAAATGATGTTTGCACTGCCACTCAAAGGTTCCATCGACGATTCAGAGAACGAAGATCTACATTCATTGCTTCCAAGTTTTGCAGCTCACCAAATTCAGATAATGCTAATTGATTAAGGTTGAAAATTTTGCTTAAGGGGTTCCTAATCAGCAACCTAACAACAACCACGTAGACCCACGTTGATGACGTGGCCATATACACTCATCATATTGCTTGTTTTTATTTTCCAAAGTCAAACAGGATAATATTTATCAAATTGACGGCTAAGATCGGCTTATCACTATGATCTTAACGTCATAAAATGG